GTGGGTAATATAAATAAATAAATGTATATGTATAGATGTGTATGTAGTTCTCTTGTGGAAAAAGAGGACTCTTATGGAGGAGTGTATGACATCTGCATTTTAATCTTAGTTTAGACAGAGCAAGTGAGCACCCCCAGAGACTGGTGTATCTATCAAAAAGCACTCATATAGCATGTGTGTTCCATTAAACATTTCTATTAGCATGTATTATGTAAATATACCTGCATATGTTAAGGAGGAAAATACGAAGGTGCTGTCTAGGCAATAAGCTATGAAACAATGTGCTACAGCCATTGAAGCTACTTTGGATGCTTGCTTGTCTCTTTACTTGTAAGCTGTTTAAAGTGGCTGTCACTTTGTCTTTGCAATTATCCATTGTAGAATTATCTCCTCTTTTCTCACTGGAAATCTGGTTCCCAGTTCCTGAAATTATGTTTGGCCTCCTGGCATCATTGGCTGCTTGGCAGCTGACTTTTTCCAGATCAAAAAATTCACTTTCTTCAAAATCTGGTATGTTGCAGAGTATGGTATGTTAACTGCATGCATTATGGGACATAAAAGGGATATTTTAATGTGCTAACAAAAGTTGTTAGAAAGCTTTTGTATGAGTTAGTACTGGTGAGTCGGCATGTACTGATTGTATTGTAATAATGCTCATGACTTCATGGGAGAAGGAAGATAATAAGGAATTAAGTAACGTATCTTAAAGGTCTCTACAATTTTCTCCATATAGTTTTCACAGTACAAACACTTTGTAATCAAAATACTTACAACAGGGCAGCATAATAGGAAAGTTTTGCAAGTTCTCTGCTTTGAGAATTTCACAGTTGTATACAGTGGATCACGAGTGTTTTAGTGTTATACAAACACTGTGAATAAATTATATTTGCATTTAGGAGAATAACATCTTTTCATGTTGATAACTATTCTGAGTATCTGGATAACCTCTAGTTTTACATGCTTTGTAGTTTATATTAGTCCAACTCCAGCAAACTAGATAGGATGTTTCCTTAATAGGAAAGCTGTGTGTGTTTGCAGTAAAGTGCAGAGGGAAAAAAAAAAACAAAAACTTTTTTAACTTGGAATACAAAATAAGTCACCTGTAATTCACCCTCAAGGACACTAAGAAGAAATAGCAGATCATCACGAGAGAGGTCCTCTCTTTTCTTGAAAGAACTTCTTTGCTTTTTCTCAGCCTTAGGGCTTCTTATGATGGTGCTGGCTTGGGGCACATCGTCCTTCTCCTTTGGCCTTCTTTGCACATTCCCTTTCCCACTGTAACCTGTTTCTTCTCTATGGTGGCCTTTTGGCCTTTGTTGGCACGGCTTCGGTCTGGTTGGGCTTTCTGCACTGTTACTTCTGGAACGCATGGTTTCTCTCTCTGAAACTGAAGGAAGGTGGGGAATAAAATAAAAGTTTTAACTTACAGAGAGTATAAAAATCTTATGCTAATTTATGGTAGTGTCCTTCTCTCCAGACTGGTAGTTTCCCCTCCCGCACTGGGCTTCTTGTCTTTTGAAAGGAGCTGACAGCCTTGCATGAACAAACAGGACTGAACTGTCATCCTTACTGGATCTCAAGTGGCACTGAAGGGAGACTTACCTTGTCCCGTACATCTGGAAAAATCTTATTGCTAACACTTGCAAAGGCAGCACCCTTAGCAGCAATACTGCACATATCAGTGCAGTCCAGATTTCCCATTTGAGAGATAGTGTGAGCTGCATGCTTTTCAGGTAGGTCCTTCATTAAGAAGATCTTTCTGTTTGTATTTCCCTTATTGGATAGCTGTGGATTTTTTTTGTTCTCTTTCCAAGGGAGAACACAAAAGCAGTCCTCCACTACTACAAGTTATGCAGTTGTGTTACTCGTAGTTCATGAAGCATAGAGGTTAGTACATGCAGACTGTAAGGCATGAGCCTCACCATACCTCTCCTTCCTCAGTGATCACAGTGCCTCCCTGTTAAACATGCTGTGTGAAGTCTTACTGCTTCTTTGGTGCTGCACTCTGAGGCCATCATACAACTGTTAGCACCTCACCACCAAGGGAAGCTTAGCCTAGCTTGTTCCCTTTGAAGTGCCACTGTTACATAAATGTACTGTAATGCCTGTGCAGACAAATTACTAATGCTGTATAAATACTGATTAATCTCAGGAACTCTGTTTTGCTTATCACCATTACAATTAAGGTATGAATGGATTATAATCCACCTCTACAGAAAAACTGTGGTGTGGTCATGGATACAGTTTAGCAGACAAAAACCCAATCATGCAACTGGGAGGGGAAATTATGCACATTCCACATACAGATAAATCACATTTTTTTCATATTAAAGTGTGAAGCCAATTGCTGGAAGTTGTATTGGTGAAAGCTTATTGGTCATTACTTTGCAAACAAATGAGGAAAGAAAGGCTTGAGCTCAACAGCAGCTGTTTGACTTGAAGTGGTGATTTTCTCCAGAAAATTGTTATGAGCCATGGGGGGCAGGAAATTATTGTGCTGTTGCTTTTTGGCCATACAGATCTGTGGCTGATAAAGTTTCCGGAGCTCCCCCTTCAGCCACGTTCTGAATCTAAATCTTGAGGTACTCTTTACAGCTATGCTCTTTAACCATGGTAATTTTCTACTGACTGCTATAAGCACATCTTTTTGCAAGAACAGAGGAAGGGGGAAATGCTTTTGGTTTGGTATGAATGGTGGTTGAAAGCCGGAAAAAAAATATCCAAAGCATTACAGAGAAAGCAAATGAAATTTCCTTTAATACTGAAGGAAACCTCTTCTAGTCAAAATCAGAATAACCTGTCTTTCATAAGAGAACTTGTTTCTCCTAGTGTCCAAAAACCAAGGTGTGTCAGAGTTGTGTGACATTGAGCACTGGATACCTGTTTGATGAAGCTCTGCTTCAGCGATCTCACGCTGGGATGGCATTGTTAGATTTGCCAGAGAAGTTACTATACTTCCTGAAGGGTATTACCTGTTCAAGTATCAACGCTTGCAATTCACATTTCTCTACACAACTAGTGCTAACATGTAGTACTTTGGTACCACGGCAGAAATGGTCACGTTTGTTTCTAAAACAGCAGTTCAGTCAAAACCTCTTGGCTGAAAACACAGAATATCTTTAGCATATTTTGAGAAATTACAGCATCAATGCACCTGATGTGATGGGAGAAATGAAGGTCTTGTCTTTCCTAAAGGTCTTTTCCAGTCTAAATTTTATGTTTAGTTTACTATCACTTCTTTCACTGAGGTCTGCTTATTTGGCTTGTTCATTTTTTGTATCTTGCTTACAACACATTGCTACTTTGGAACATGACTGATTTCCTTTCAGCTTCAAGTGTTGCATGTCTGCTTGGTTTCCACATGTGGGTTAATGGCTGGTGGTTGTAGTATCAGAGCTGTGAGCTGTGAGTTAAATCAGATAACCAAACTCACTTTAAGCTTGCCTGTTCTCTTTGCAATGCAGGCACAGGATGCAATGAAACATGTAAATAGCCCAAGAAGTCTTTCCATTTTTTTCCCTTCATGTGCCAGGTGCAGGGGCAGGCTCGATTGGATGTCAAGCTGTGAGACTTGTAACCAGGGTCAACATGGCATCCTTCAGTGAAGGGAAGTGAAACAGATGGATGATAAAGAGATTCTTACTTTTCCAGGTTTCTTTGGTTGGATGTACTGGAAACAGTGAACTTGAAAATGGCACAAGTCTCAGCAATCCTGATAAGATGGACATCTGCCTTCTGTTATTTTCTTATGTTATATACATTCTCTTGGTTTCAAAGCCACATGCCATGCATAGTTTTCACAGCTGAGGAGGCCTTGTGGTGACTCTTTTGAGCCTGTTGTGCCTGCTCCTTGATCAGGTAGATCAGTCCTTATTACACTGACAAAGAGCACTGGGTGCCTGAGAAGGTCAGTGAGCCTGCTGATTAGGTCACTCTCCTACAGGGTTGGTGCCTTTCCAGAATCCCAAAGGGGAGTTTTCTTTTCTCGTTGAACAGCCATTACCTACACTTCATTTGCATTTTGTTCTAGCATTTCTGAATGCCAGGGTCTACTATTAAACCTGCTAATGCAAATGTTTATCAGATGTAGCAATTAACACAAATGATTGAAGTGACATACTAAATGTATGCTTTAAGCACTTTTTAATTATTATTTGAATATACCTGACAAGAGAGACACAAACAGTCTGGTATTAGTAGGCTGCCTTATTGCTATGCTCATTTGTTGATTTATTTAGGCTTTCTTACTACCTGTACATTGACTGGCATTTTTTTTTTGTCTGTAGTGCTGCATGCATACATAATAATGATAGTACTAATAATGTCTTCAAAGGATACAAATATGACAGATTTGGAGGAGGGTGGAATATTTCTTGTTTGCTCATTGGATACTTACTAATTTGAATTTCTATTTGAGTTAAAACCAAGAAGATGGGAAATACCCATTCTTTTTCAGTTCTGTTCTGTTCAGTTCTTTTCAGCTATTGTACTTGAAACTGTCTGTGTGTTGTCTGATGCTAGTGCATCTTTAAATTGTGAGCCTTTATGGATGTAGCACTGTCTAAGGGACTAACAAAGTGCTCCTGACAGTTCAGGCAGATTACTGCTGCCCTTGCACCAACGTAGGGAAATGATCACTTGTAGTCCATAGGATGCTGGTTTTCTGTAAGGTTATTAACCCCTGGAGTGGCCCTAATGTAATGCTGAGAGTGGAAGCAGTGTCATTTGAAATTTTATAGCGGCGTATTTTGGTAGATTGGGTTATCTTCTTTGAACAACTCTTTCCATTTACTGGAATGGTAATGAAAAGAAAATTCTTCGATATTTTGGAAGGTGAAAATGTTAATAGGGTCTTAAAATTTGGGGGTGTAAGTTGTCTCGTGTCACACAAAAAAAGATATTTCATCCTTCTTTAGCTCTCAAGATCAGCTTGATGAGTACAAAATTTCCCGTTTGCCTGTCTGCATGTCAGTCAGTTTTCATTATAAATCAAGTATCGATGGGGTTTGCATACAAGAAAGGTAGCTTGCAAAAAAAGGTTAAGGAAGTGTTCTTTTTCGTAGTAGTAGCTGTAGTTCGTGAACAGTCTCTGTGGTTTCTCCTTGAGTGTGAAATGTTGCATTTTGTGACAAACTCCTATATGAAAATTAAGATGTACAACCAAAAAGGATGGCAATACAGAATAACTACCAGAAAAAGTCAACAGCTTCTAAGAAGGAAGAAAGTAAATGAGAAGATTTGGTTGAGCCCTCATCTATGATCTGGATCAAATAATATATACTAGGGAATGTAGCTACAGGAACAGAAGAAACAAAGATGCATATCAGCATTCTCATATGATTAGAACGTGATCTGGTTGCATAAAAATTAATGAAGATTAAAAGGGACCATCCTGATCACAATGTCACACCTACTGACATCACAAACAATCATGTGCTGGGTATTTAATCCAGATGAGTCCCTGGACTGGACCTCAGAACTATGTGCTTGAACTCTCAGTGCCTCAGGATGCTCTCTAACAGACCATCTTTTAGCTGGTTTTTTTGAACTTTACTGCCTTGTAAGTGTGCTGAGGTTACTATTCTGAAGTACTGTTTTTTTGAGTCCTGATACATGTTGTCTGTTTTACTGAAGAGTTTGCAGCAGTATCTTGCTTGATGTCACAAAGTGATGATTTCCAGGCTTGCCATTCAGTGCAGCTTGGTAGACTGGTCCCAGTTTCAAAATGGAGCAAAGCTGGCTTACATTGAAAAATTTTGGTAAGCCAAATTCTTGCAAGCAACATACTCAGCAAAACTTGAATCTATTCTTAGCATTCATGTTTTTATTCTTTTTATAGTCTGTTTCTCGTTCTGTTTTCTAAAGAGCTTGCTCATCTCTGAACATCTATGCTGTCTTCCTTGCATATAAAGGAAACATTTTCTCTTAGTGATGAGCAAGTAATCTGAGGGATCAAAATATACTTTCCTGAAGAGCCAGATGAATAAATGACCAAATGTTTCTATGATGTTAACTTGGTCTCCACCCTCTCAATCATATTCTGAAGGAGATGAAACTGCGTTTGTCTCTTTGGCAGCAGCGAACAAGCAGGTGGTTCAGAAATCCTTGCACTTTTGTGGGAAAAACTGAAATATCCTTCAGAGATGACTTCACCACAGACACCGAAGGGTTTTAAGAGGCATCCATTATTTTTCCATCTATTTTTCCCCTTACTATTTTCTCTTTAGGTTGTGATTGACTTATGAGCTAAGAAAATCCCTCACAGGATCAAATCTTCTCTTAATCCCAGGGTAAGGATCCTGAATAGTTGAGAAACTTCTTTTTCTTCCAGAAATCCATGACTAAGCAAGGAATTATGTCTTTCTGTTTTTTAACATCTCTTAAGGTGATATAATAACGCTTTTGATTTGCTGAAATATTTAGGACTTCTACCAACAGACTGACCTTTAGGACTGAAGAGATTATTGCTCAGTATGTCAGCATTATGGGAGAGCACAAAAGCATACCTTCTCTTTCAGAAAGAGGTACGGAATCCTCCTTCCATCACTGTGAATGTGCTTTTAAGCACTCAGCTTATTTGTTACAGGACATTTTTTTCATTCCCATGTAGAAAAGCTGCTGTGAAGCATCATGTTCAGCTTGATGCGCCATTGTCTAAGGATAAATTAATCTGCTGTCCCCATTCTCTTGCCTTCTTGAGTGGCCATGTGCCAGGTATTGTGCAGGCAGAGGAAGGGGCTTTTGGCAAGTGGCCACATCCTGTGTTGTGCCAGGGAAAGCAGTAGATTTGTCTTGTTCTCTTTCTGTAGTTCTGGTGTGGCCTGTGGGCAAGCTATTGAACCATGCTGAGCAAAAAGAAGAAATGAAAACACCATCTTATTAATTGGAATCCCAGGATCTGGCCGTCTCATGGCATCACTGAGCCTTTTCTGAAACTGATGCTTTCTGACAGAACGCGTTTCTCACTT